GCTTCATTGATGTCGGTCCAAGTAGCCTCTACCACCGCCTTCAGTTCATCCGCGATTCTGTACAGCCGGTTCTTAAATAAAGAAAGAGAAAATATCATTATCAAAGTATTAAAGGAATTTATGGTTCTTTCGCCTATGAACTCAGACGAACCACTATACTTCGTCAACCCTCGAGGCTCATCAGTGAGAAATGGTTGACGAAATAAAAGAGATATGTATCACAGTGATGAAAAAAGAAGGAAATGTGTTGAAAAATGTATTCAAATAAAGAAGGATAACGTAACAGAACGAAACGTTTAACTGAGAAATTATGCCTTGTAGTACTAATAGGCTAAAGTAAAGTTGTTGAACAAGGGTTCCCTATAAGGTTGTAGTAAGGATAACACACAAGCCAATCTATCGCTTCAGCACCATTTCGTTTGAGCCATTCTTTGGTAGATTGCGAAGCATCGACAGACGCGTGGTCCTGTTGCTAAACATGCAACCTTCGCTCGCGCTCCTCTAAGGAAAGGCAACAGGTGGTATTGAACCTTTGGTAATCCTCACCATTCATATGCTTGACAAAGGCCACTTCCAACTTTGCGTTGCTTGCGAAGCCACCCCAGACCATCAACGGGCCTGCTCCGGAACTCCTTCTCGAGAACCTGAGCGGGTCACCGCCAAACCCCTTCAGTGGTGGCAAAATCTATCAAGTTAAGATTAGCTAGGAAGAAAATGTCCATAAAAATTGTTTGTTTCTAAAATAGAAAATTCTCGAAAAATCGTGTCCTACCCTGTGTTGCCATTACGAGCAGACTCCAATCTGCTAACTTGTGCTGAGCCTTGAAGTGAGTAGCCTTTCTCAGCGTCTGTCGAGTGGTGTATTCATTTGAGCGGATGAGGGGCTTAGTGGTCATTTTCGAGGCTGGAATAAAAATCTGAGCTCGGACAGTCAATGAAGAATTCGACAGGATGTGGGCTACTCTTTTGTTGTTCTGAGCAGTCAAGGATCGTGGATGGAGCGGAGTGTGTGCTGAGTATAATTATCAGGGTGCCGGATAAATCTTCCAATGCATTAAGGAGAACGACCAAGTTATCGTGCGATTTCTAGATTGGAACGTTCATTATCATGCAGAAGCCTTGATCTGAGCTCATCTTCAGGAAGAAGTATGGCCGCGAATTGACATGATGACGAAATGAAAACAGCAAAGTCGGATTGAAATCGGTGGAAATTCGGCGCCAAAATCTGATCTTCTTCAAGTGTGCACATACTTTTGAAACAGAAAAAAACTGAATCCAAAAATTCTTTACGAAACTAAGGCGATATATCTGCTCAATTTAGACTGATACGTAATCGACTACGGAGATTGATGATGGAGGGTTTTGCGCAGGAGGCCTGTGTTACTTTCTAAATGTGGAATTTGAGGTATGCACATACTTTTGAAACCTGCTGAATAAAAAATATGATAAAGAACGCAAATTAAATTTAATTTAATAGACTCTACAACCCTATAACTTTTGGATCGACATAAGGCTGAGGCGCACTGTCGTTCGTATCCATCCCCTTTGGCAGTTGTAAACTCACTCGGATTTGCTCCTGAAAATGCATTTCGTTCGGGCGCTTCGGTTCACGTTTTTTTACTGTGAATTGCAACACCCTTTAGAGAAATTCAAACCTACTTCCGCTTCTCGGCGACTGCTCTCAGGACGCGGTTACCGGCGAAGTATGTTAGGCTACCAACCACGGCTAAATACTTCAATGTCCCGAACATGTTGAGTTGAAGCCAGAACACGAAGTACAAGGCGAACAGCGCTAAAATAAAGACATCAACCGGAAAAATCTGACTGCAGGCAACGGCACGAGGTTGTACTACGCAAGACTACACAAGCTACCAGTAAGACTTCCATGGAAAATCAGCGTCCACAGACTGAGCGGCATATTGCCAAAATTGAGTCCAATACGGAACCACTGGAAATGAAAAAAAAAGCTTATATGTCTGAACGAAGTACAAGTAAATTCAAAAATCGAAAATTCTGACCAGCACTAGCAGAAGCAACAGCGGAGCCGAACAGATCAGAGTGAAGGTATCTGAAACAATAGTGGGTGGCCTCTTTTCAGGCTGGCGAAAGGCATGCTTAATTTCCGGCAACACATCGTAGTTGATTCGCTGAGATTTTGGTACAACTTCGACAGGTGCTGATGGGAGAGTGAGCATAAAGTCTGCCTGAATGGAAACCAATAAGGAAAAAAATTACCAGATAATTGAGTGAAAAATGACTTATAACTCACGAAAGGCCAGTTTACCGGGGTTCGTATGGTTGCATCCCCAATGATAAGGTACGCTGTATAGGTTCCAGAAATCCCCTTGAAATCTTCGTGAGCTCTGGCAAGATTCTGAACACGCTCGAGGATGGTAAATATAAAAAAGGATACTTTCAGGACACCAATTAATATGATCTACTAATTACACAAAGGCAGAAAAGCGAAAAACGAAAACCGACTATATCAACAAGGTGCGTTCCGTCAGTCTGCACGTCAGCTTTGTAAAAGACTTCGGAACCATTCGCATGTTTGAACAGCACGAATGCCTTAAAAAGACTGATATAAGATACGTTTCGATAAAAAAAACAAAGATGACCACAACAAATGACAAACCTGATGAGGCTGGATCAATGTTCCTGACACCCTGCGCTTAACAGAGAACGAGACGTACAATCGCTTGGTGTGGTCTGCCGAAATGACCTCCCCGTGCCTTGAGGACTGAGCAACACTGCAATATGATTGATGACATGCTACCCTAATGATAGAAACTGTAAGTTACGCAGTCAAAGAAGTAAAGCACGAGTGACAAGTATAAATGATATGATGAAACAAGTGACATGACAAGTTTCTCTGACGGGGTTAGAACATGGAGGAAGAACCGCTGCTTCCATCAACTGTGCTTGCAAACATCATCAACCTCCGAAACTCACTGGTAATTGGTTCTGAACAACAACTCTCAATACCCCACGTGCAATTAAAACAAATAGTAGGACTGTCGAAATATTTTCAGTATTAAAAAAGCAACGAATAGTGTGCTGATGCACACAACCATGGCTGTTGTCAGAGTCCGCGATCCGTCGCGATTCGCGCGATTCGCGCGACGGATCACAGAAATCACAAGTGCCCCGATCAATACTGCAAGGTGCTCTCCAATCCCGCCGCCATTTCTGCTTGATGGTGATGGTTGAATGACGACTGTTCATGATTCTACTTGTTTCATATTCAGTGTTTCAAATGTTCAAATGGGCACTTGCGATTTTTGCGATCGCGCGACGGATCGCGGACTCTGACACCAGCCTATCAAGAATTCGACCCTTGCATATTCATAGGCGCGTCTGCAACTTGAAACTGTCTTGAACTCTGAAGAAAGAAATAAGATGCACCATTTCCACAAAAATGTATGATAGATTGCTATGCATTTCAGTGTTGCCGATTACTGAACAAGTGACGACGTAAAAGTGTCACAAAAACGAGAATAACTGCAAAGAAATGAAAGGAAAAAGGATAGTGAACCAGGTGTAAGCAATGACGAACCTTCATAAGACCCACCCACCTAGTGAAATTTGCGTTAGTGACGACATCGTCCCTTTGGAGTGCTCCGACTTTCAGGTCCTCTACATTCACTTCATCATCGGATTGTTGCACAAGAACGCTTGCATCGGTAACACGTAAATTTCCCACAACAGGTGATGTTTGTCCCTGTGGAATATCAGCACGGACGTCCGATACAGCAACTGATAAGCCGAACACATTGCAAATAGCGATGATAGCAGGCTAAAAAAATATGGCGTTGTATTAAATTTTGAGAATTAAGGAGACTTACCGTCATGCGATTGAACATGACGGATCCTCTCAGGGGTGCAACGACTGGCACAAGTTGACGATTATTCACAAAGACTTCAAGAGCGCTAAGCAAATGGAACGCAGACTTTTCAGTGATCACGTTTTCGACATAGGAGATATTGGTGAAAAAAGTTGATCCTGTGAAGAAAAAAATGAAATTAAATCAAAGTAGTACATTCAATATTGCAGGGCGGAGAGAGACTAAAGGTGAAGAATTGTAATTATGGTGTTCTTCGTCTGCCTATGAAGTTTTTAGGTGGAAATCTTTATTAGTGGCCTGACGTTTCGACGAGATCGTCTTCCTCAAAGGCCCAGTCCACCACCGCAAGAGCAGAACAGTGCCACTCCTAGTCAGTTATGATTAGATATAACCATAGATTAACATGAGTTACTAACCATAATTGAGTTAAACCGCCGTCACACTCGGCGACGGACAAGCGATAGAGTGAGCGATCGCTCCATCGCTTGTCCGTCGCCGAGTGTGACGGCGGTCTTAAAGTGGCACTGTTCTGCTCCTGCGGTTGGTGGACAGAGCCTTTGAGGAAGACGACCCTGTCAAAATGTCAGGGCGGTGATAAACTACACATGAAAACCTTGCTGGCAGAAGAAGAACATTACAGTTACAACAATGCCGAGGTTTTACGAAGAGAGAGAGTTTGAAATTTCTTTAAAAATCATTCCTCTGGGTGCTTGTGTCACTTACCAATCGAGACAGTGGTAAACATGACATGAAGAATCGACAACACTCATATTTTTGCCTCTTATTGCGTCCCCAAAAAATTTCGTTCAAAATTGTTTGAATACCCGTCGAGACTTTCCTCTGGCCACCCCACTTCAACAAAACCTCCTCAACGCCCGCTGTCAGAACCCCTCTGAAAATCTCAAATATGACCCTCTTCCCACAATAACTTTCACAAAAACCAGAAAAACGACCATTCCCTCCAAAAAGCCCGAATGGGAGTCTGAAGGAGCCATTCCAACCATCAGCCGAACAAAACATCTAATGGCTTTTATTTATATGTGGAATGTTTTCCATCTATAAGAGCAATTCTGATGCGATCCTAAAAGAATTTCGTAGTGAAATCAATAGAATAAACCCAAAAGTTCTCCTTTATTGAGTTCATCTTGACATTAAGCTTTATTGCATTCCCGGTTGGTCCACTCAACGGAAGTATGGCCCAAAACGCCTAATATCTCTCCCTCTTTTTGTTTTCTTCAGAGAATTTTAAGCCCCCGTCCCACCAAGAATTCTGACAACTTGGAACCGCGTTTCACCCCGGCCGCTGCTCTATTAAAGGGGCGACTAGTGCGGGTCTCGAGACGATTACTCGATGCCGAGACGTCGCTCGGTTCGAGAAGCTCAGTGTACCATTTGAGGAGGTTTCTCCTCGTTCGATCCACTTTCGATTAGGTTTCGTTTTCCTTAACGCACAACTATGTTTTACCGGCCGTTGGTCTATTAATCCAGTGGTTCACTTCGTGTTGGATGCCTACGTCCTTTGTTTAATTGGTGCACCTATTTTTCTTTTTTAAGCAGTTTAGTTCCCTGACAGCGGTTACGTATTTCTTCAAGTATAGGTTATGCTTGGTTTATATTTTCTTTATTGATCCAGTTGAAACCTTTACTGATCGGATTAATGGAGTTTGCTGTGTATTTCCATCGTTTACCTCTTGTGAACATTGCTGTTCCCAGTTTTCCTGTAGTGCTGACGCTTACAGGTATATAGGGTAACTTCTCCGTTGATCCTTAATCATGGGTTCTATGGCGCAATTGATGTTTGACGAGTTCGGGCAACCGTTCATCGTCATGCGTGACCAGGAGAAGCAGAAGCGGCTTACTGGGATCGAAGCTGTCAAGGTAAGTTGATGCAATTTGGCGATCTGTATCCACATACAGATAGCCAAACAAGCAAATTTCTATGCATCTTTCGCATTTGGAAGAGACTTTTGACTTATGACTCTTTTAGAGTCACATTCTTGCTGCTCGCTCTGTTGCAAACACCCTTCGCACCTCACTTGGTCCAAGAGGTCTCGACAAAATGCTGGTTCGTTTGATGTTTTGAATCACTTTGTCCTAGATCTCTGCTTGCTTTGAGATCAGCATAACGATACATCGAAGATCTAGCTTAGCACGAGGGAAATACGCTCAGTTTTAATTGTTGTTCATAGATGCTTAGAAAAGTTCTTGATTCGAGGAGCTCCTTCAGAGCTTATGTAGTGATGAAAACATGCCAAAATTAGAGAGGAAATGGCCAAAAATGGCGCCGGCATTTGCATAGGTCATAAGGGACGATTTATACTTTGCAGTTCGTGCAGTATGGATATGTATCAGCCGTATGATTGCATGTGTAATTGATACATATATGCTCCACCAAAAAAATCGCAAAATCGCAGAGTGGCAAGGTTGCAAAGTATGGCCCGACCTGACGTCGAATATTTCTCGCTCGGCTATTCACTCATCCTTCTGAGTGCTCAAATTCGGGTGTGGTTCATAGGGACAGAAGAGCGACTTTTTCGCGTTTCGCAGCGCGAAACATTTTCGCTGCAGGACCTCAGGTTCCACCGCTGATCATGAGTGGACCTGGAGTTCCTGCAGCGAAAAATGTTTCGCGCGCGAAACGCGAAAAAGTCGCTTTCTGTTCTAGTGAACCACACCCCTCAAACTACTTAGTCAGTGTACTCCTTTGAAAGGATGAATACGCTCTACATGGCTCATATCGGACACTTTAGTCAACGTCACCATTTCGTATAGCATACATTATACGAAGTTATACTACCCAGACTCGACAGGGCGTTGTGGATCCTAAAAGAGGCTGCTTAGTACTCGACGCTTCGTTTTTTTTTTTCTAAGTTCGTTACTGTAACACGATAGGCGGCCTCATTCTTGTGTGGGGTTATCCAGTTTTCATTCATACTGATTTATTTCTACGTCCTATTTATTTGACAATCTGAATATTGTCTTAGGTTTCTGCTGACGGTGAGGTAACTATTACCAACGACGGTGCCACGATCATGGAGAAAATGGACGTGCAACATCACGTTGCCAAACTTATGGTTGAATTAAGCAAATCGCAAGATGCTGAGATCGGAGATGGAACAACTGGAGTTGTTGGTGGGTGCTTGTGGCCTCAACTTTTGATGTGTGGAACAGGATCACTGTAAAATCGCAATCAAATTTCATAGTCAAAAAGAAGTTTGTCTGTGGATTTGCACCGTAAATCTGTTGATGTGCTGAGTGTTCTTATGCCAAGACGTCTCTTAAAATCTGCCTTCGAAAATATTCAGAAGACTTCGGAAGTTTTTAGGCTGGTGGGCCCCTTGCTTTATATTTCTCCAGATCTATTTGGCGCTGTTTGCCCTTTTTCTAACTTTTTTTTCGAGGTCTGTCTCGATTTTTCTGGAAATGGCTCCGAGTATGAGTTTTCTAGATGTTTGTCGCGCTATTATTCCTTGTCAATCACGAAAATCACATTCAACTAGAACGTGCAAACCCTGTGCCCCTCCACATGTCGGTGCAGCACTTTTCAGGCCATCTAGTTTCTTGAAAAGTTAGTTTCTACCCACGAAATCAAGCTGTTCTCGAATATAGTAAATTCTTTATGTGGGCAAAAAAGGCTCTTTATTCGACGGGAAATGCTTGACGCGTCCCTACAGACGATGCATGTACGGTTTATTTTAAGGTCACCGTTGCTCGCACCTTCAAGTTTTTTTTTGTTGACAAAATGCGATGTCAACCGTAAGAGGATGGTAACCGTCTCTAACGCATCATTCTACCGCTATTCACAACTTTCGAGCGATTTTGTGGTCTGAAATTTTTTTAGCTGTTTGCCAGCCCAGTGTTATATTCTTGCTCAGGAAGCTGAAATATGGCTGGTGACCGCTTTCTAAATAAATGGAGTCATTGATTCAAACGTGGAGAGCGGTGACAGTAAAGGGTGCTTTATATAGCCATGTTCCCA